GATTTGCAGTTTGAACCTACTCAGTAACTCCTCAGAATAAAGGTCTGGTGAACTATTTAAGTAAAGATTGTTGTTAAGTGCTGTTGAGTTGGTTCCGACTCACAGCAACCTTGTATAGGGTTTCAAACTGACTTTGAGGTCGCGTGCTTATCCTACAGCGCCATACAACCAAGAAAACCCTATGGAGCAGTTTGACTCTGTAGCACATGGAGTCACCATGAGGTGGAGCTGACCTGACAGCAGCTAACAACAACAACAGCAACCATCTTCATTAGATCTACAGAATCCCTTTTGCAATGTAATATAACAAAGGCCATTTTGCAATGTTAAATAATACAGGCTCCAGGGATTAGGGTGTGACATTCTCTATTCAGAGGAGTCCCTGGGTATCACAAATGGCTAAGTGCTTAGACTACTAGCTGAAAGATTGGTGGGTTGAACCCACCCAGAAACGCTGCTGAAGGCAGGCTTGATGATCTGTTTTCATAATAACACAGCCTTTGAATTCCTATGGAGCAGTTCTACTTTGCATAGTTGGGGTCCCCATGAGTTGGAACCAACTCAAAGACCGCTAGCAACAACAATTCGTATTTTAGCCTCCTATGCTGCTGGTGGTGTTTCAAGGGCTCTGGATGTCATTTTAAGGAATCGAGAAAGATGGAAAAGTTGACTGGTTAATGGAACTTAGTGATGAGATTGTTATTAAAAAAATTCCCTGTGAAATAAACTCTTTCTTCCTTGATATTTTATGGTTATTTTGGAGCCATGTTATAAATTAGACAGTCTATATAATGTTTGATCCATCAGGGAGTATCTAAATTTTAGCCAATTTAGTACAAGACAATCACGGTCTTCCACTTGATCTTGTTTTAGGAAAAAAAGCCCGCACATTTGACTTGGAAGCAATGTTTGAACAGACCCGCAGAACAGCTGTTGAAAGAAGTCGGAAAACACTGGGTAAGAAGTTCGTATATCTGTCCTTTCATTGCTTTTAAGTATTGTATGCATCTTTTTTTTTTTTTTTATGTTTTATTGTGAATTATGTGATAGTTTACATGGGACAGCGTTAGTTTTATATTCATCCTATTATATATCATTTCATTGCCATGGTTACAATCCCCTCCATGCATCATCAACCAACCAAAGGGTATACACTACAAGCCTGCCCCCTGGTC